CTCCTTTATGTCCTATATTCTCTAGATTAAAACCTGGAATTGTGGGGCAATTTAAGCTGCCTTAAGTAAAGCAGTAAGCCTCCACCAGGAAAGCTGGGGAGAAAGGTTAGATTTTATATTAATGTCTTTTGATGTATTCTTGGTTTTAAAAAAATTGGAGAGGTTTATGCTCAATCCATGCTCTATTTCAGTGACAATACAATTTAAAAAGACTTCAAGGGGCTAGGGAGATGGCTCAGTAGAATAAGTGCTTCCCTGGCAAGCACAAGGGCCTGAGTTCAATCCCCGGTTCAAAATAAATAAATAAATATTAAATAAATAAATAAATAAATAGACTTCAAAAAAAGATTCTATACATAAGGAAGCATCAAAAATTAAAATCTTCAGCAGAAACTACAGTGCTATAATGTCTGACATGGATTGTATCACTGTCTTTTCTCTTTATTCATCTTAATTTTTTAAGGGGAAAGGTTTATTTTGCCTCTTGATGTCAGAGATTTTAGTTCATGATGAACTGGCTCCATTGTGTCTGGACCTGTGGTGAGGCAGTACAGCATGGCAGAAGAGCATGGCAAAGCCAAGAGGCTCACTATGGCAGCCACTAGGCAAAGAAGGAGAAGAAGTGTGAGGAAGGAGCCTGGGACAAAATACACCATTCACAGGGAAGTCCCTTGGGACTTACTGTCTCCTCCAGCTTGACCCCATTTCCTAAAGTTTTCCTTTCACTTCCCTACAACTTCACCAACTAGAGACAAAGACTTCAATACATAAACTTTTGGGGGACATTCCAAATCCAAACGTTAATATCTAAACTCTAACCCCAAAAGGCTATCATCGATCTCACAATGCAAAGTCCATTCAGTCCATCTCCAAGAATCCCCACATTCTTAATAGTTCCAGCATTGCTCAGAAGTCCAAATCCAAAGTCTCCCGAGACTCAAGGCAAACTCTTCCTATGAGTCCCTGTAAAAATAAAAAACAAGTTATATTTCCATTATTATGTAATTGCACAAGGTAAGCATTCCATTCCAAAGGCAGGGAATAGGAGAATATCAAGGAAAAAGCAGACTAAAGCAAGACAAAAACCTCATAGGATAAATATTAAATCCTTAGTTCTATGTCCTGTATCTAGGGCACATGATAGTAGCGTGCGAACTCCAAAGAACTTGGTCAGCCCTACCCCCAGGCCTTTCTAGCTGCAGCCCACTATCTTGGGCTGACTGAGCACATTTTTATGGCTTTTGTTGATAGACTCTCCAATGTTCCTCTCATTTCTAATTTCCAGAGACCTCCACTGAAGTTTCAACTTCACTCTCACAGCTTAATGCATCACTATCCCTGTGATGTATTCTTTCAGGAATTTCAGTACTGCCATATAGTGGCTGACCTTCCAGGTCCTCTTGTGAAATTTGAATGGGAGTCTCAGTATCCCTACAACTCATATTCTGCGTAACTCTAAAACTAGCATAACATGGATAATTCCAATGTCTACCAACAACTCAAACAGTAACAGATGCACTCTTATCAAGACTACAACAACCTCTGAATTCCCAAAGAGCTGAGAATTGTGAGGTGAATCCTGTGAGGCTGGGGAAAGACAGCCCTGTAGAAGGAGGATACCCAGAATCTCTTTTCTCAAAACAAAATTTTTCAAACAAGTTAATACTTTCATACCTGTGATGGTTGGGTACTAGCTCGTTCCTGAGCTATATCAAGGCATTTTCTTTTTAACTGTGTTAATCTCTTTATCAATTACAACTTCCTTGGCCCAAACTTACTAAGCTGGAAGCTTTTCAAGTAATTCAACTCTGCTATTTGTTCATGATTCTTATGGTAAATCTGGCTAAACGCAATACTTATGTCACCACTTGAATGCTGTGCAGTGTTGAAATTTCTTCCATCAGATACACTAATCTATTGCCTTTAAATTCAGCCTCACACAAAGTCTCAGGGCATGGATGAAATAACATACACAAATTCTTTGCCAAAATATAACAAATGGTCCCTGGTCCAATTCTCAACAAAGTCTTCATTTCCATCTGAGACCTCATCAAGATAGCCTTTACCATCTGCGTACCTATCAGGATTCTGGCCTTCTGAGCTCCTACCATAATCACCCAATCAACCAAAAAAAAAAAAATCATTTTCAACTTTGGGGGCCTGCCTGTTAGCTCAGTTGTTTGAGCACCTGCTCATGCAAATGCAGTCAGGCACAGGATACCATGGTTCTGTTCCATCCCTACCTCCACCTGCATTACCAGACCTGCCTTTAAGGCAGCCTGAGCCAGACAAAAAAAAAAAAAAAATCATTCCCATAATCACCCAATCACTTTTTTCTTTTCTTTTTTTATTAATTTTATTGAGAAACAAATAGCAATGAGACTGTTTCAAAAGGATTAGTATGACAGTTTCAATAATTAATTGAGGACTGGGGAGATGGCTCAGTAGAATAAGTGCTTCCCTGGCAAGCACAAGGGCCTGAATTCAATCCCTGGTTATTTTTGCTTCTATTGTTTATTTACAAGTTTTAATTCAAAATGTATTGATTCTGAGATTATCAAGACAGAAACAAAAATGATCTGAAAATGCAAAATTTGTAGAAAAAGATCAAATGAGCTCAGCTTCTCCTCAGAAAAATCCCTTGGCTGGGTTTTTTTTTTTAAAGTTTGTGCTGGTAATACAATGGAAGGGGGATGGTATATAGTAATATGATTAAAATCAGATTTAAAATGTTTAGAGGAAAGAAAACCACATTTCTTAATTCATTGTTTTCTTCCTTAATCATATCCAGTTTTCCATGCCGTCAATTTGATTACTGTGGTAAGAGACTTCCCAAGAGATATTTAGATAAACCTGTATTAAGTTGGAAATATCATAAGTCAAAATGCAGTTAATATACCTAAGCTACTGAACATTATAACTTGGCAACAGTTATTTCCCCTCATGTTTGTATGGCCAGCTCACTTTGCTTCTCTACATCACAAAACAGGAATTGACCACATATTGGTAGCCCAGGAAAAGGTCAAAATTCTAGATTTGCAGTATATTTTCTATTGAATGTATAACACTTTTACACATTCATAAGCAGAATAATCACTAAGCATAACTATCATGAATTGGAGCCATCTGTATATGTAAAAAATCTTAGGAAAAGTAGTTTAGCTAATATCAACAGCAAAGACAAAAAACTGTCATTGTAATAATAATAATAGGCATAGCCACTAGCATGTATTGAGTTATGTGCTTGAAAGACCATTGAAATTAACTCATTTATCACTATAGGAAGTATTTTTAAGTAAATACTCTTATGATCTCCATTTTCAAATGTTTTACTGAAGCCCATGGAACCATAGCAAGATTTTTCCATTCCCCTTTTTTTAATTGGTTGTAAATTAATGGGTTTCATTTTGGCAGGCTCAACATGCACACAACATATTTTGGTCATGATCACCTTCCCATGGCACACCCTGCCCCTTAGTTTCATATGGGAGATACATCAATAAATACATTT